AAAGATCCAGCAGGAGGAACCACAGTAGCTAGCAGGGGAACAGGTATATTACACACCAGAGTATACAGTGTAGATCAGCCTTTTACAACCAGGGTGCCCAGGTACCCTGGGGTGCCTTTAGGTTTCTTCAGGGGTGCCTTGACAAAATGCCTAAAAATTGTCCATAAATTGTATACAAGATAATGGATGGATGAAACCTACCTTTTAGTTGCACAAAACCACAGGTTTTCACCTGGTGTGCACCATTACAGCCTTCCAGCCATCAACGTCCTAACATCTAATGATGTCATCAGTTGATAAGGAGGATGTTGGATGCTTGCACAGAATCCTTGTTTGACCTTCACCTGTTCCTCTCCATCAGCACGTCACATTAGTTGAGTGAGGGAGAGAAAAGAAAAATGCTGGAATGCTAAGCAGTACCAGTGTGCAAAGGTATATTTTCTTTGGAAGAATATTTCATTTCTAATGTTGGGTGTCATACGTGTGTGGATGTTGCAGCATTTTGTAAAACTATTAGTTTAGGTTTTTTACATTTTGGAAAGGGGTGCCTTGAGATTGTGCATAATTTAAAAGGGTGCCTTGACTGAAAAAGGTTGAGAAACATTGGTGTAGATTATTTGCAGTATCTGGGGAACGGAGAAGCAGCAGTATTTCAATACACAGGATACCTGTAAGATAAGTATAGTTATATCTCTTTATACTGATATTTTTATATATCTTTTACAGGTGATCTTCTGGACAAAGTGACCCTGTGTTGTGATAGGTTTGCTTTAAATGGTTCCTAAGAGCCATATACAGGTGAAGCGAAAAAAAATAATTAGAATATTGTCCAAAAGTTCATTTATTTCAGTAATGCAACCTAAAAGGTGAAATTAATATATGAGATAGACTCATTACATGCAAAGCAAGATAGTTTAAGCCGTGATTTGTCATAAGTGTGATGATTATGGCTTACAGCTCATAAAAACCCCAAATCCACAATCTCAGAAAATTAGAATATTGTGAAAAGGTGCAATATTCTCGGCTCAAAGTGTCCCACTCTAATCAGCTAATTAAGCCATAACACCTGCAAAGGGTTCCTGAGCCTTGAAATGGTCTCTCAGTCTGGTTCAGTAGGAATCACAATCATGGGAAAGACTGCTGACCTGACAGTTGTGCAGAAAACCATCATTGACACCCTCTATAAGGAAGGAAACCTGATGGGAGACTGAATTGACGAGGTTGGCCTCACTTGTGTCACTAGCCCTGACCCCGCTGAGGTTGGAACAAAGGTAGTCTAGGGACCAGGGGGACAAGAGCGCCAGTGGTTTGCTTGTGGCTCTTGCGGATGATGGCCTTGGTAGGCAGGGTATAAGTTGCTTAGGGTACTGCAGCGATAGCCCAGGCAGATTCGGTGGATTGCCAGATGCACGGCAGAGCCAGGTATGCAGCCAGGAGACAGGATTGGAGCGGAGTTGCAGGACAGCCAGGGTCATAACAGTCAGGCAGCGTGGTACCGAATCAGAGGGAGAAGCCAAAGTCAGGATCAGAGCCAAAGTCAGGAACCAGGGACAGGAGAGTACTCAGAGTCAGGAACAAGCCGGGTCAGCAACAAGGAACACGTATAGAAACAGGCAGGACACAGGGGGGAAGCTGAAGACCAGTCAGCACTGAATTAGCACCGAGGTGCTCTTTAAATAGCCCACCCAGTGCCGACAGTTGCGCCTTGGTCCTAGTGCCTGCCCGGTGCCGTCATTGTGACAGGCGCGCCTGGGTCCTAGTGCCCGCCTGCCTGTATGCCTTGTCGGGATCCTGCACATGCGCAGATTCATGCGCTGCGGAGATCTTCTTGTTCCCTGACAAGGCCATTCAAAAGTGTTGGGGACTTTCACAATGAGTGGACTGAGGCTGGAGTCAGTGTATCAAGAGCCACAACACACAGACGGATCCTGGACATGGGCTTCAAATGTCGTATTCCTCTTGTCAAACCACTCCTGAACAACAAACCACTCCTGAACTCCTGCTCAGTGGTCCAAAGTCCTCTTTTCTGATGAGAGCAACCTTTGCATCTCATTTGGGAAATCAAGGACCCAGAGTATGGAGGAAGAATGGAGAGGCACACACTGCAAGATGTTTGATGTCCAGTGTGAAGTTTCCACAGTCTGTGTTGATTTGGGGAGCCATGTCATCTGCTGGTGTTGGTACACTGTGCTTCATTAAGTCCAGGGTCAACGCAGCCGTCTACCAGGAGATTTTGGAGCACTTCATGCTTCCTTCTACAGACGAGCTTTATGGGGATGCTGACTTCATTTTCCAGCAAGACTTGGCACCTGCCCACTCTGCCAAAAGCACCAAAACCTGATTCAATGACCGTGGGATTACTGTGCTTGATTGGCCAGCAAACTCGCCTGACCTGAACCCTATAGAGAATCTATGAGGCATTGCCAAGAGAAAGATGAGAGACATGAGACTGAACAATGCAGAAGAGCTGATGGCCGCTATTGAAGCATCCTGGTCTTCCATAACACCTCAGCAGTGCCACAGGCTGATAGCTTCTATGCCACGCCGCATTGAGGCAGTAATTGCTTCAAAAGGGGCCCAAACCAAGTACTGAGTACATATGCATGCTTATACTTTCAGAGGTCCGATATTGTTCTATGTACAATCCTTGTTTTATTGATTGCATGTAATATTCTAATTTTCTGAGATTGTGGATTTGTGGTTTTCATGAGCTGTAAGGCATAATCATCACAATTATGACAAATCACAGCTTGAACTATCTTGCTTTGCATGTAATGAGTCTATCTCATATATTAGTTTCATCTTTTAAGTTGCATTACTGAAATAAATGAATTTTTGCACGATATTCTAATTTTTCACCTGTATATTTCTTTTACTATATTGGACCTGTTATTGTGCCAAAAAAGTCCCTCATTGACCTCATTATTTTAATTTTTTGTCACAAAAAGAAAAGAACAGACAGTCAAAATTAACAAATATGTCAACCCGAAAATTCATATTTCTGGTATGTGCCTGCTGCACTATGTACTTGTATAAAAATGTATCCTGTTATCTTTGTGTAGCTTTCTTTGTTTGAAATCCCTGGTGTTCCTGCCAATCCCTCCTGCCAGCTTTATTATGAAAAACTGACCACACTAGGCAGGAGAGCATATTGTGGTCAGTTTTCTGCCTGTCAACACAAAGAAAAATAATGACTCTAGCGCTCAGAGGTCCTCCACAGTTGGGTATGACTTATGAAGCAACAGGTCCATAAATGCCCAGATTTCTTGGTGGATGCAGCCCTCCTCAAACAGGGGATTTATTGCATACCTACAAAAAGAACAAACAGTGGGGCGCAAGCACCTAGTGCAGCAATGGGCAAACTACGGCCCGCGGGCCGTATACCGCCCGGCGGACCTTTTAATCTGGCCCGCGGAGCTAGGCTCCCGCCAGGCTCCTCTCACAGTCCGCCCTGAAGACCGGTGTAGCATGAAAATCTGTCTCCTATGAGGATCTGTCCCCCTCGACGTATCTGCGCATGTGCCGGAGATCGCCGATCGGCTGCTAATGCCTGAAACTGGCACATGCGCAGATACGTCGAGGGGGACAGATCCTCATAGGAGACAGATTTTCATGCTACACCGGAACAGCGCGGGAACACGGCGAGAGGAACGCGCGGAGCAAAGGTAAGTGAATTGACACAGGGGGGACTTGGGGACTTAATATGGGGGATGAATTAATATGGGGAATGAATTACTATAGGGGGGATGAATTACTATATGGGGGATGAATTACTATGGGGGATGAATTACTATGGGGGATGAATTACTATATGGGGGATGAATTACTATGGGGGATGAATTACTATAGGGGGGATGAATTACTATATAGGGGGGATGAATTACTATGGGGGATGAATTACTATATGGGGGATGAATTACTATATGGGGGATGAATTACTATGGGGGATTAATTACTATATGGGGGATTAATTACTATGGGGGATGAATTACTATGGGGGATGAATTACTATGGGGGATGAATTACTATATGGGGGATTAATTACTATGCTTACTATGGGGGAATATTACTATACTTACTATGGATGACACATACACATCATTCATCTACTCTTGGTCCGGCCCCCGGGTCCAATATATGAACCCATTGCGGCCCTCAAGTCAAAAAAGTTTGCCCACCCCTGACCTAGTGCATCACCAATTATTTATTAAACAAATAATGATAAATGCTTATCTCTGAAGAAGTGGGTGCACCTCCGAAACGCATAGCCAGCATAGCGGGGTGTTGTTGGAGTATACTTATCCTGCATTGTATAGCGTCTTGTGGTTTTTAATGCTCTCATATGTTGTACCTTTGTGAGCACCCATTTGTCATTATTTTAATTTTTTTTAAATAAATCATTGGTAATCTGCTTGTGCCCCCCGGTTTGTTCTTTTTGTAGTGTTCTGCCTGTGCTGGGAGCTAATCTAATAGTCAGACTTTTCTCAGACCATTCCCTGAGAAGATCAGTGTGCTGCTGCTTCTCCTCCCCAGCTCTATAAGATCCTTATGCAATTCAGAACAAAGGGTATGTGATCACTTACACAAAAGGAGAAAAAGGTATTTATTACTTTTTTTATATGTATGCACAAATGTTTTGCGTTCGTTTCTTTTTTAAGCTGAATGGGTTATTTTACAAGGTGAGGGTTTACATATGCTGTATGTAGAATTAAAATAGTTAAAGCAACAGTATACAAATTGAGACTGAATACTCAATAGGGCAAAAAAAAAACTAAAACAAAATTTAAAAAACAACTACCCTAAATACACCCTTAAAAAATGCACCCTATAAACAAGGAGAACCAGAAAGAATAAATTGGTCACTCAGAGACCCAACCCTCCATGTGCAAGAAAGTGGCAAAGTGTCACAAGAAAAAGACTTTTCATAACTGTAGAACCAAATGCAGGGACTTTTTCAAGGGGGCAGAAGCATTTTAAAAAATATATTTCTCTTTTTACAGATATATCTGTCAGCCTCCTTGCCGTGGTGGTCAGTTTCTGTGGGTTGGCACTCTTGGTGGTCTCTCTCTTCGTCTTCTGGAAGCTGTGCTGGCCCTGTTGGCGTAGTAAACCGCTCACTTGCACCGCACAGGTTGCTCCTCCCTGTATCCCCAGCGCCCCACCAGAGATGGTGGAAACTAATGAGAAGAAGGAAATTAAGCAGAATGGCAAGCATTCGGTGAAGATGCAAGAGGGGGCAATGAAAATCAGTCACACTTCACCTGATATTCCTGCTGAGGTCCAAAATGCCTTGAAAGAACATTTGATGAAACATGCACGAATGCAACGTCAAATCACTGAGCCAACATCCTCTTCAAGGTATGAAATGTATTATTTTGTGTATTTATGCAACAGTGACATACCATACAATTCTTTACAGGGAAAAGTGTAACTTGAAATAACAAAATATATATATGTGTGTATATATATATATATATATATATATATATATATACAGTACATGCACTCAACAGCTGCTTTATTACCTTGCTAGTACTGGGTTGGACTCCTTTTTGCCCTAATTCTTTGTGGCATAGATTCAACACATTCCTCAGAGATTTTGGTCCATAATAACATGATAGCGTGCCTTTCTATTATCTCGAACCAGTCTGCCGACTCTCCTTTGACATCAACAAGGCATTTTCGTCACACACAACTGCCGCTCACTGGATATTTTCTCTTTTTCGGACCATTCTCTGTAAACCCTAGAGATAGTTGTGCATGAAAATCCCAGTAGATCAGCAATTTTTTAAATACTCAGACCAGCCCAGCTGGCACCAACAACCATGCCACTTTCAAAGTCACTTAAATCCCCTTTTAGATGCCTAAATGCTTTGAGTTGCTGCCATGTGATTGGCTGTTTAGCAATTTGTGTTACCAAGCAATTAAATAGGTGTACCTAATAAAGTGGCCAGTGAGTGTATATACACAGTATTTAAATATACACCGATCAGCCATAACTTTATGACCACTGAGAGTTAAGTGAACAACTTAGATGATCTTTTTACAATGGCAACTGAAAGTTGTAGGATATATTTGGCAGCTAGTAAACATGTTGTCCATATAGTTGATGTGTTGAAGGCAGAAAACATTTGCATCTCAGATTGTTTGTGTATAGTGGTTGCAGAGCTGCAGACCAGTCAGGTTTTCCATGCTGACCTATGTCTACAGCCAAAACTGCCTATAATGGGAATGTGAGGATCAGGACTGGACCATGGAGCAATGAAAGACAGTAGCCTGACCTGATGAATAATGGTTTCTTTTACATTATTATATACATGGTTGGGTGTGTGTGCTTGCCTGGGGAAGAGATAGCACCAAGATTCAGTAAGGGAAAAAGGCAAGCCAGCGGAGGCAGTGTGATGCTTTTGGCAATGTTCTCCTGGGAAACCTTGGATCCTGCCATTCTTGTGGATGTTACTTGGCATGTACCACATATCTAAACATTGTTGGTGACTAAGTACACCCCTTCATGGAAACGGTATGGCTCAAGAATGATTTGAGGATCACAACAGTGAGTTTGAGGTGTTGTCTTGGCCTCCATGCCCTTCAGATCTCAATCTAATCAAGCATCTGTGAGATGTGCTAAAAAAACAAGTCTGATCCATGGAGTCCCCACCTTGCAACTTACAGGACATAAAGGATCTGCTTCTGACGGCCAGATACCACAGCATACCTTCAGAGGTCTAGTGTCATCTATGCCACGATGGGTTAGGGATGTTTTGGCAGCAAAATGGGCTGTTTTTGCGACAAAACCAGGGATTGTACCCATGCAGGCTGATGGGCTTCAGGATAGGCGTCTTGTAGACAGAAAAAAAGCTTGTAGGTTTTCTCAGGGCTCAGCAAGTTCTTGTCTTACGTCCTGGAGCCTTCAGGCTTCATAGAGTGTTGGGTGGGATGAATCTTCTAATCCTAGGTCCACATTTGTTGTCAATCAGCACTCCCTGATTGTGCAGCTATACGCAAGCTCTTTTAATCTGGGAATGCCTGTGGCCCAGGGCTGGGCCAATGCAGCTGGGACAGCTGTTGGGAGCATCAGTGTGGGTATGTGCACAAAGAAGATTGTCTGTGAAGGATTAGATAGTGGCCCCAAGAGAGGCCACACCTTCATTTTTTTCCTTGAGACCGAGTACACACTAATGTTGTGAATCCTGTGCATTTTCCACACCGCATTGCAATTGCATGGCGTTCATGCGATGTAGTGCATGTGTCAATGTTAAATTAATTACACCCCGAAACAAATTGAAAAATGCAGTGTGTTTGCCAGCAATCACATTGCATGGGTGAGAACACCCATGTAATCCAGGTATGGGTAAAAAAAAGGGTCCTGCACCTTTATGGTGCAAATGCGATGCAATTTGAGCCATACAGACATTACATGTAATTTACACAGGAACACAGTGTGATTCCTGTGCGAATTACATGCAGTGTCCCACACCGCATTAGTGTGAACCCAGTCTCAACCAGTGGGTTGAAGAAAAAGAAAATAAGCCAATTCCCCCATGCACACATTCCACTGTGTTATTGTATTCTGCCGGCTGGGACCCTTCCCCACCATCAGAATACATGGATACAATGAGCAGTGGCTATAGCCTGCGGCACTGATTATTCAGGAAAAAACCTGACAGGATGGTTGTACTCAAGTCGATCAACATGTGTAGAACCAGCAAGCCCATACACGGAGAGAAATTCATCAGGTCCCTATTGAACTGGCTGAATTTTGATTCATGAATGGCCGGCTTAAGCCTGATGACCAGAGTAGCTGTGCTTATACAGGAAACCAGGAGGCTGGGTGAGTAATGCTGAATAACCCCTGTGCATGGGCGGACTGACAACTCATGGGGCCCCCGGGCAATAGGGAATCATGGGGCCCCTGTGTCCTCGCCCACACTCAAACCACACCCAAAAAAGCCTATGAAAGGTACCAGGGGCATCTCATGGGGCCCCCTACTGACCCCGGGCCCTCGGGCAGTGCCTGAGTTTTCAAATGGTCAGTCCACCCCTGCCCCTGTGTGAGAGTAATCCGGTTGTATTATAATAAAAGTAGGCAAAACTGCCCTACTTGGAAACTCTACCTTTGACAGTAATCTTTACAACTGAAACATTCACACAGGCTTAGCTGTACTGTTTGCTTTACAGTGCAATGTTTCTAGCATTTTTTTTATTGTAATAACAAAATTAATAATAAGAAGAATTACTATTAATATTAATATAATTTGTTCAGTAAATAAGCCACATTCTACAAAGCTTCACAGTAAACACTAAGCTATTTGCAACAGTCCACGTTACAGAGGAGTTACTCTTTATTTTAAAGCTGTCATAAATATAGTCCTTGTTCGGATTAAAGAGTGCCCAATCAACTGGGTTTGCCCGATGCTTTAAAAAAAAAAAAGACATTAACCTAATTCTAGAAACTTATAACCAAAAATATATAAATCATGCTATAAATCAGGGGTCTCCAAATTTTCTAAACATAGGGCCAGTTTACTGTTCATCAGACTTTTGGGGGGCCGGAGTGTGGCCATTGAGAGTAGAAATTGTCCAGGCATCAGTGGGAGTAAACAATGCATCTTTGATATTAGGGGGAGGAATAGCGCCCCTTCATTGGTGTAAGTGGGAGGAATAGTATCCAATTGTTGGTCTCAGCGGGAGGAATAGTGTCCAGTTGTATCAGTAGGACGAATAGTGCCCCATCACTAGTGTCAGTTTAAGAAATAGTGTCCTATTGTTGGTGTCATTGAGGGGAAATAGTACCCCATTGCTGGTGTCGGTGGCAGGAATAGTGCCCAATCATTGGTGTCAGTGGGGGAATAGTGCCCCATTCATTGGTGTCTGTGGGAGGAATAGTGCCCCATAGTTGATGTCAATGGGAAAAATAGTGCCTCATTGTTGATGTCAGTAGCAGTAATTGTTTCCCATTGTTGGTGGGAGGAAAGGAATAGTGTCTTGTATCAGTGGGTGGAAAAGTGCCCCGAGGGCCAGATGAAGGCAAGCAAAGGGCCACACCTGGCCCCCGGGCCGCAGTTTGGTGACCACTGTTATAAATTATACATAAAAAACCACTTTCATAATCCATTTTAGCAGTAAAAAAGGAAGTTTACATGCAAGAATTCATATAAAGTGACCACACTGTATTGAAAGGTATATATAACTAGTGCTAAATAGTCCCCCAAAAAAATATATAAGTGCCAAGTGCTGAACAGGTCATGCGTTTGCTGACTAGATTGTGCCAAAATACAATATATGCACAGTAAACATAATACACAATAACATTGCACACGCTAACTGAAAGTGGAAAGTGCTCAGTATGGGTATGAATATTGGTTAAAAGTAAAATCCACAATAAAGTGCAAAACAGGTCCTGATGAAGCCACGTGATATTGTGGAGTAACGCGTAGAGCGCGGTGACGTACTTCCGGTTACGCACATTCGGCAGATGCCATCTTTGAACACCCAGCACCTTGCAGTACATCCACAGCACATGAGAGACCAGCTGTATCTGCTATACTGTGAGTGTTCTCTTTTGGCTTGTTTTCATCTGCTATATGGAATAAACGGCATTTCACTATGGAGGCTCTCTTTGTCTACCTCTCTATGGCCTTGTGATTATCCCGGGAGTATTACCATCTGAGGGCATAAGTGACCTGGCAGAGGAGATCGAGTGGTACTACAGGAGTATTATTACAGAGATCCCCAGTCTGGTGGAGCTATATTACCTAAAGCATTGTGGCCCTTAGGGGTCGCATGGTTAAGGTGAGGAGGCACTTTAGCCACTTTTGGATTATCATATACACGTGTGGCATGCTAACACGCATCATGTTTGGAGTGAAGAATTGAAGCACTAACATCGCGGTGTTTGTTTGCACATGAAATGTCAAGCACTTTGTTATTGCACTTTATTGTGGATTTTACTTTTAACCAATATTCATACTCATACTGAGCACCTGTCACTTTCAGTTAGAGTGTGCAATGCTATTGTGTATTATGTTTACTGTGCATATATTGTATTTTGGCACAATCTAATCAGCAAACGCATGACCTGTTTTGTATTTTATTGTGGATTTTACTTTTAACCAATATTCATACCCATACTGAGCACTTTCCACTTTCAGTTAGCGTGTGCAACGTTATTGTGTATTATGTTTACTGTGCATATACTGTATTTTGGCACGATCTAGTCAGCAAACACATGACCTGTTTTGCACTTTCAGCACTTGACACTTATATATTTTTTTTGGGGGACTATTTAGCACTAGTTATATATACCTTTCAATACAGTGTGGTCACTTTATATGTATTTTTATATCATTGCACCTACTTATTTAGTTTTTCATGTGAAGCGCTTTACCAATATTGTTTTTTTTTATGTCATACATCCTGTGGTATTGGGAATAGGTGGTAGCAGCTTGCATATATTTGGGGTTGTGTTTGTTCTTACCAGTGGAGCGCAGGGGGATTATTTTTATATTTTTATATTTACATGCAAGAATTATATCCAATTTATTACAAATATTTTAAACCTGAAGATGCAAAAAATTCAACAAGGGTCATGCTACTTAGCCACCCATATTAGAATGCAATTCCCAAATCCTATTTTTGAATCACCTTTTTGGCTTTGTATTCATTCTGATGCCATGCTATTTACAAAACAGAATGACTTGTTCTGAACTAGTTGTGCTGCAGCATCTGTTTGATTTAATTGGGACATAATGTATCTCTTTTGTGTTCTGTGAACATGAATAAAAAAAAAAATAGTACACTTACCAATCTCTTGATTCCCATCATTAATGCCATCGGCGTAAGCACAGAAAAATGTCAATATATTATAAGGGCATTAGCCGCATGCTGACCTAAAGAGAACTGCAAAGAGGACTTTGACTAGAAGGTCTACGATGACTCACAGGCTGCTATGGTTAGAAATGAAAACATATATGTATTCAGTAATTGTATTTGTGTTCACGATATAGCAGGGAATGCCTGAAAACCAGTGGGTGGCTATATATTATATGTTATGGGTATATTCCTATAGTGAGGTATATTCCCATAGTGAGAAATCCTGGACTGAACTGGTCTAATAATATACAGCTGATTTATTCAGCTCACTTCCTGTGAAACCATAGCCCCAGTCCAGGCCTAACGTGAGAATACTGCATAAGAAAGGCGCCATGTCCTTGTCCTTCAGGACAATTAGGGTGCTCAATAATAACATGCAAGCATGTGGGGATGCCTTCCTATCCCAAGAGGTGTTTTAGTATTTTAAACATTAATTTAAATTCCTTAAGTTAACTTTTAGCCTAAATAATATTATTTTTATACAGCCCCAATGGTGACACTGACATGAAGTTTTGTGGAGGGAGGCTAGGAAGGGTCATGCTATGGGATCTTTGTACCAAAAAACTTGTATTCTGAAGCCATTCTTCACTGTGATTCATTTTTAGGAAAAGTCAAAACATGTCATTTTCTGCAGCATTAGTCAGTTTTAAGTGGCTTTTTGGGTTGTTGTGCTTTGGAATGTTTAGCAAGAAATGATTTACAATCTCTTAACTGAACAATTCATAGCTTGTACTGGGTGATGTTTTCCTAAGAGCCTTTTTCTATGGATATATTTAAAGATGGATTTCAACCATGGACAAAAGCACTTATTGCAGTGCTGCCCCCATGATCTGCATATAATTATGTTTATGCATTTAGAAAAAGGCTGTAATTACCTTAATGTTTTACCATAAAGTCTTAGGTAAGTGCTTTAGGTGCCTTTTATTTTATGTTGTCGGAGCAGAAAGATGCTGCTGCTACATCAAATTTCAGTAACAAACAACTGGGACCGAGCAAAATTATATCAGTGAAATTGATTTTGCTGTGAAATTACCAATTTTGCTAAAGCAGAAACTATCAGTTTTGCTCAATAAACTACTTAGGTGAAATTTGCTTGAGATAATAAAAACTTACTTTTTTTTTAAATTTAGAGAGCCATTTTGAGGGTCTACAGTTGCAAGAAAAAGTATGTGAACCCCTTGGGATTTCATGGAGTTTTGCATGAATTGGGCATAAAATGTGCTCTGAATGTCATCTAAGTCACAGCAATAGAAGAACACAGTCTGCTGAACATAATACTACACAAACATTAGATGTTGCCATGGTTTAATTGCACATAACATGTAAACATTCACAGTGCAGGGAGGAAAAAGTATGTGAACCTTTGGACTTAATAACTGGTTGACCCTCCTTTGCAGCAATAACCTCAACCAAACGTTTCCTGTAGTTGCAGATCAGACCTGCACAACGATCTGGAGTCATTTTGGACCACTCCTCTTCACAAAACTGTTTCAGTGTAGCAATATTCTTGGGATGTCTGGTGTGAATCGCTCTCTTAAGGTCATGCCACAGCATTTCAATCAGGTTGAGGTCAGGACTCTGACTGGGCCACTCCAGAAGGCGTATTCTGTGCTGTTGCAGCCATTGTTTTGTTGAATTACTTGTATACTTTGGGTCATTGTCCTGTTGCATCACCCATCCTCTGCGGAGCTTCAGTTGGCGGACAGATGGTCGTACATTTTCCTGCAAAATGTCTTGATAAACTCTGGAATTCATTTTCCCATCAATGACAACAATCCGTCCAGGCCCTGAGGCGGCAAAGCAGCCCCAAACCATGATGCTCCCTCCGCCATGTTTTACAGTGGGGATGAGGTTTTGATGTTGGTGTGCTTTTTCTCCACACATAGTGTTGTGTGTTCTTCCCAAACAACTCAATCTCGGTTTTCATCTGTCCACAGTATATTTTGCCAGTAGTGCAGTGGAACATCCAGGTGCTCTTTTGCAAACTACAAACGT